TGCCCGTGTATCACCGGCTGCCGGAGAGCTCGAGGTTTGTTTCTCGAGGTAGCGTTTATGGCCTCGATGCCGGGCCTTCATGGGACGGGGAACAAGCCGAGACCTGCTTGTCCACCCACCGGGCTCGCAGCCCTTTGGGAGGCGAGTATTGCGCTTCACCAGAAGCGTGGTGCGAAGGAGTCCCTCTGCACCGCTCCAGGAACAGTTCCTGGGGCTGCAGTGCTGTGCACAGCGATACCCAGCCACAGAATACAGTAACACCCCGTCCTGCCCTTCCCCTGCAGCTGCCCAGCGGTATCTGCTCCCGGTGTTTGTGTTTCCGAAGACAGCCGGACACCGGCTCTCCTTGCCCGCTGTGATTATGGCCTCTCACCTCGGGCTGCGTGCGCGCTCTTATCTGTTACCAGCGTACTTAACCTATGTATCTCTACCTGTACCGTCAGCAAAAATCTCTCTGCTCATAAAGTTTTATGCCCTTGCTCTTTTTCTCACTCATGTTTTGCCGTCCTCTAATGAATTACTGATTGCTTTACTGCCCTTTTTTTTGGGGGGGGGCAGAAACGGCTTAAAAATAAAAGCCCAAGGAAGTTCGGTTTTGCTGTGTCATCAGAAACTCTTGTTTTACTGCCAAATTCTGATTCTGATTCCAGTGGAGAGATCTGCAGTGACTCCACAGGCTCCAGCGATGGACTCGCGGGTCGTTGTTCTGGGCCTCCCTCGTATGTAGCTGGCGTCAGAATTCGACCATTCCCTTCCTTGCCGAAAGGAGTTGGAAGGATCTCCTTCTCCAACATGGGGTGGTAGAAGTTCCTGTAACTTTACCCTTCTTCCAGCTTCCATTTCTGAACAAATCAGTTGTCTGTACAGATTGTCTCATTATTTTAATCTCTACACAATTTCATGAGGGCTTTCTATGTTTCCTTTAAAAATACATATATATCTGCTGTGATTTGGCTGGGGGTGTTTTCTGTAACACTATTTCTAGTGAGCGTTCTGAACAACATGTTTACTTTAGTTTTTGTACTTTGCATTTAATGATAAATTCTGACCTTTTTCTTTCTCTCTTCCTGCAAAATCTTTCATTTAATTGTTTCTCTGCAAAGTTGTATACATTATTAGATTATATTTCTATCAAACACTGAATTGGGATTTTCCGCTTTTGCAACACAGCAAATTTTTGCAAGGTCTGTTGTTAAAACTTCTTTTGTGGGTTTGTGGTCTGCAACATTTTTTGTTTTCTGAACGTGTTATCCAAGCTAGCAGACTTGATGGACCATATCCCTTTCATTTTAGGTTCATCAGATGATCGAACAGTTTTATGAACATCCTGGGCTACTTATTCCACAGGTTAAACAGCATTTGTGTATTGCAGTGTTCAGACTGATCACATGCATTTGCTGTTACACCCTTCCACTTCTGAGTTCCAAATTTAGCAATATTTATGTGTTTTTGGCTCAAAAAGCACAAGCAGGTCTTGTTGTCTCATTTGCTGCATGAACTGAACAAACGCTGCTTGCGTATAACCGTGCTAAGCAAATGCAGGCTCGGGCCAGACAAAATACACGAACTCCTATCTGGCAAAAACCTCACATGACTTACGCTTTCTGTAACATAGGCTCAATCCCGCAAAGCATTAGGCAATTTGGCTCCCAATTAGCAAAATTATTAAGCATAGATCTGCCTTTAAACCATGTGAGTCATCCTAATGACTTTAGCAATTTAAAAAAAAACCCCAGTTTTTAATAGGTGTATCCTGCTGAACAAGATAATATTTTTCTGTGCAATATTTTATGCACGTGTCTACTCACGTGAGCCTTTCTGCTCAAGGCTCACGTCAGTAGACACACGCATAAAAAGCTTTGTAGATTGAGGAACTTCAAGTGGCTACTTTTGAAACTAAAACAGCTCCCTGTCATACTTGGATCCTTTAGTAGATATATAGTTATCTGCCACGCTGGTTCATTGAGGAAAAGGATGGCTTGGGGATGGTACTTTTGCTGCAAACACAAAATCGCTTTAATATTTTGTACTTAATTTAGTTTCCCCAAATATAAAATACAAACCAGCATTACACTTGACCTGTAATTAATATCAGAATTGAATTGGTACTTTCAGACTCACTCTACTGAAGTCACCGAGGGGAGAACGATCGTAACAGTTGTGTTAATAGAACAGTTACTAACAGTTTATGAGCTCTTTGTTTCTGCTGTTGCGTGGCTGGAGATACCTTCTGGTAAAGGTGTCTGGATTTATGAAGCCTGCTAGAACTGTGTGCCTTTTTCAAATGGAAAAAAAAGTTTATCATCTTTTCTGTGTCCTAACAAAACAAGCCAAATATATTTTCCATCTTTTCAAGATAAAAGAACAGAATTGATTGAAGAAAAGACAAATTGTGGAAAAATACCTCAAGATTATTTTGGAAAATTGTGTGTGAAAACAGTGTTTTACAATAAAAAGAGCTCGGTACTTTAAAAGGAAAAATAAGATTTTTTTTTTTTGCCTGAAAAATACGTTACCTACTTCATAACAACATGGTAAATGACCTTTGAAGCACTTCAGACGTATTTTTGGTTCAGCTGTGTTAATTTAGAGTTCTTGGTATATTGCCAGTTTCATTATTTTGTTTAGAAAGTCCCTTTTCTCTATTGTTTAAGTGAGTATTTCACATCCTATCCCTGGAGAGAAAGTTTTCAGGGAAATGTGTTCATAAATAATGGAAATTACCAGAGACTGCTGTAAAACATGGAAATAGTTTCATCTGGTTCATTTAAAACCATGAGAAGCTTAACACTGAAGAATCTGTTCCAGCTTTCCTCATGCAGAAGCCTGGAGAAGGTTCAGGACTGAAGTCTGAGTCACCGGGGCTTAGGGAACGGCTACCCGATGGAAGTATTTCACTTCAAGGTAAAGCAGAGCACAGGCGACTGAGTCACCACCAGTACAGGTTCGTCTAATCTCGAAGTTGGTTACTTCTGTAAACGCATTTATCTGTTGAATAAAATTCTTTCTGATCGCGCCTTTAGTTCTCAGCACAGCAACTGATCTGGCTGGGCATTTAAATCCTCATTTTTATCAGATCCCTATTTCAAGGTGTCTTTCCAGACAGAAGTTGACCTGATCTTGGAGACAAATAGATCTTCGGTATCTTGCAGACTGAAACTTTGGGACATGCCCGAGGCCCGTATGAGGGGCAAAATGGTTTTATTCGTATATTCCCCAAAAAGTGAGCACGAAGAAAATTTTATGAGGAAGAAGAAAGAGGCTAGCTGTCTTGTGTCACCGTTCTTTTGCAGGTTTGTTTTTTTTTTTTCCTGGCAGTAGATTGAAAATCCAAGTTGAAGAAGCTGCATTCAGCTCAGGCTGGGTTCAACCTAGCTGGGCTGAAACAGAGCTTCTGGAATGGGGCAAAAAGTCAGCAAGTTGCTGGCAAGCTGCTCAAGACCAGCAGCTTCTGGGAACACAGGCACAGTCATCCTCAGTGAAGAGCGCCCCAGGCAGCATATGTAACATAAGGGGGTTTTGGGTTGTACCAAGGCCAGTACAGCTCTGACCAACCCCTTGTCACAAAGACTTTCGCTCACGATTTTCCTCCCATCACTGCAGGTTACGGCAGCCAAGCGGACAGCCTCGTCCTAGCACGTAAGAGAGATGCAGTTAAGCACGTAAAGAGGAGACAGCTCCTCGGCCAGATGGTTTCGCTTTGCCTCCCGCCTGGACACCTCTCCGGTGCCATTGGAAGGCAGACTGCTTACCCAGCCGGGGGCTGCCACGTGTCCCCGCAGCCCCAGGCTCTCCCACTCACTGCTGGACGTGCGCGAGAGACCTGGGCTGCTGGACATGGCAATAATGCCCGTCGCCGAGGTCTGGGATCCTACTGTTCATCCAAATCAAATGGTACCTGTTCCGGCGCTCACAGCTGGGTTAGAAACATGCTGATGATATGCCAGTTCGTTACAGTGACTTTACCCCCCACCCCAACTAACTCTAAGAATAAGAAGAGAGACTTTAAGGAGAAGGACAGGCTTAAAGGAATACATCTGGTGTCCTGGAAAGAATTGTTTTTTCAGTTCTGATCAGTTTCTGGACCTACCTCAGCATCATACTGCAGAGACCCAACATTGGGTGCTCGCTCGTTCTCCTTAGGACATACCTCAAACTATTTGCATCTGTCCATTGCAACAAATTGATGCTTTAAAATAGACATTCAATATAGAAAATAAAACTCCAGCCCTTTTAGCACTACTAGAAAAGTTTGGGTCCATATTTCAATACTACATAAGCTGGGGGAAACCATATTATTCAGTTTCTCAGCTGTCATAAGTATGTTTCTTCTCTCGGTAAAAACTCAGATCAATGCAGCTAAATACTCGTATTTAAAAATACCAAGTACGTTAAACTGGTGAGCTGACCTCTTGGATTCAGAACTCATTCAAATAAGCAGTGTTTGTTAGGAGGAGATGGCATACCACTATCTCAGCCTTTTGGGGAACACGGTACAAGTCGGTGTCTTGCACGCTTTGGTGGAGACAAACAAGGTGTCTCCCTGGCTGCGTTAGCCAAGTAATGTCATTTTCATTCTTTCCAGGGTGTGGAATCACCTGTCTGAGGCAATCCGGGCTTGCAAACAGGACAAGCTCCGGGCTTAGAACCGACTGGGCAGAGAGATCATTCCATACCCCAGTGCAGGCTCTGGGCTCTTTTACATAACAATAAGGAGCTTTTCGTTGCAGTGGCAGTACTTAGAGCTAAAATAATCCTTGCTAACATAAGGATTGGAAGGGATTTGTTGAGCCACTGATTCCACTTCCAGGCAGGTTTTCATAGCACCTCTTTCATAAGCTCAACAAGCTCCAGGAATTTTGACCAGCTGTTCCCCCTCAGGCCCATGCTCATTAACAATACTGTATTTTTTAATGGCTTCTCCATTATTCTAGACAGTCTGAAGTATCGGAAGGCTTCCAAATTTTAGAGGCAAGACGTACTGAATGATTTTGAGAACAACTCTGGACACCTTCAGGTATTTTTGAGATAGCAAAGGATTGCTCTAAAACTACACTGGATGGCAGGATGGTTCTAAGAGATGAATCAGCTCTAACAAGCATTAAGAGGGTCAGACGTTGAAAAATAAATGTAAGTAAGTGTACTGGGGACTAACCAAAAATCTAGAAGCCACAGGTGGAAATGGGAAAGAAAGTTAAAAGACCACTGCAGCCAAACTCCACGTGAATTCTCTATTCTAGAATAACACAACCAAGCTGTGTTTAACTTTCACAGATATGCTGGTTCTAGAGAAAATACAAGCTCATCTTATAAATGATGAAGACAGACTTGTGCCTAGAATGGATTGCTGTTATTTGCACTTTAAATGAGCAGCTGAAGATTGGCTAATTTCTAGATCAGTTATCTGAGTCTGAAGATAACTTCATATACTTATGGATAGGGGGAAAAAAAAATCAGATTCTATCTTTTGTTCTATCAACTTTTACACTTCTGAGTTTATTACTGTGACTCTCACTCAAACGTGTTATGTCTATGTAATATCAACCTCTAAGCAGCTTTGGCAGCTTGGAAGACTGCATAACCTTTTTTTGGGTGACAGCTGTGGTATTTAGAAACCTATCCAAGCCAAAATGCCTTTTCTTTTTTGTCTCCCCCAATTTATAATCAATCCCACCAATCCCACAAGACGGCTCAGATGCCCAATCACCCCAAAGCGGTATTGCCCAATATTGTTTGCTCTGAACACTCAGAGGGCAGAGCAAATATTTTAAACGACAGCAAATACAATTGTCATTTGCTTTTAGCAGTATCATCAGGGTCAAATAAGTTCAAAGGTTAAAATACTTGCATTGTGAAACAAGATCACTCCAGATGAGGACTGAAGAGTTTTGACAGAGCAATAGTTGCACACTGCAGTCAGCCTCGGAGTGCTTTTTAGTCAAACAGAAAACTTAACTTTGCAGGGTTGAAAAATCTGTTATGGGCCTTAAGCAGCACACCAATACCGATTTGTTAAATCTGTGCTAGGGGTGTTGCACCTTCACATATGTTTGGTAAGAGCAAGCAAAACCCACAAGAAAAAAAAAATACCAAGGAAAACAACATCCCCTTTACAGCTTATCTCTAATTGCACTGGGTACCGATCAACTAGTTTCTCTGTGCAAGAACTAATAGTAGCAGCGCGATAGAAGGAACACTGTCTTATCACAGACGCAAGTTAACATTTATTATTGCCATATCCAAAGTCCAGATTCTGTCCTGCACACTCCGCAAACTCAGCAAACCAGACCTGAGTGCATGCGTGCCAGCTGGCCTCTGGCCTCCTGCGTGTTGGGCTTGTTTCAGCGCACGTCTTTTCCCCTTTGCAAGCACTGCAAGGATCAGGATGTTGCTGGCCTTTCTTTGATCTAACACTGAGGAAATAGCAGCAACTCCCTGAACGGGTGTCAGAACAATCCCCTGTTTTGCAGCACTGCCCAGCCATCAGAAGCATCTGTTCCTCCATCAAGACTACCTTATTACAGGCAGAGCAATGGTTCTGAAGTTATGTTTTGGTGCAAGGCCTGCTGCTTCTGTTTCAAATCTCAAGGCTATATGCCTTAATGGTTGTCTATTTTTACCACTGTATTAGTTTAATAAAAGCAATTACCTCTACCTACAGATCAGTTTGTAGACGTCCTTAAGCCACTCTCGCTCTATCATCACTACTGCCAAAGTGTTATTTATGCAGCCCAGGAGTCTCATACTCCATACCAGCACGCACTATGCGGTCAGTAAGCCAGCAACGTTTTCAGACAGCCCAACATCCCATGCATTTACATTCACCCTGCTGCTGAACAACCAGTCCCCCCGACTCAGTTCAGCCTTTTTCAACGCTCTCCCTGCAGTGGTAGTACCCACAGTTAATGGCTGTGCAGCCAACTTTTGTGTTGCTGCTTTGTCACAAACACTGTGCACAGACATCAGTACCTTTGTTTCTGCCTTAGTGCCTTTCGTACAGTCTCTTACTGCATAGCTCTTACTTCCACAACTTGAATTTTTCAGCTTACTCCAAATAGTAAGACCACTGATGTTACTTTCCTAAGGAAGGTGAAGCTGCAAGCAGGAAGAAAGTGTTACTACAGTAAAAATAAAGTACCCAAATAAAGACGTTCAAGGTAGAGTTCCCCATCACTTGTATAGAGTGGCAAACAGCATTCATTTTAAGTACAAGGTGACGTATAAAAGTCTGGCCAAGACCAATCCCCCTCTGGGATAAGCACTGTGTACATAGCAATGTTTTCCTAATGCCAGACAGGTATGAGAAAGGAGAGCGGCACTGCAATGAGTAGTTAAGTCTCACAGAGGAAATAAAGCCGAACGAGGACTAGGATATAGAACTTGCTACTCTCAGCCCACTCTTTAGACAGAATCCAACTCCGCTGCTTTAGCAGTCAAAAATTCTGAAAACACCTGTTTTGACAGAAAGCATGTTAGCAAAGCACGGCATGCTCACAGCACATCGGCTTCCAGCAAACAAGAGCAGAAGTGGAAGCATTTGCCAGTACGAGTTATATTCTGCTACAGGTTGGCAGAATCCTCCAAGGATAACCAGCTTCACAAAATACAGCTGTGAAGACGGAGCTGGCTGTGGAATTTAGGGCTGGCAAAGAGCTAAAATCATCTCTTATGCTGAACATCTGCTCTTACCCCTCTTTTGTAAGGCGAGTATAATCAACAATCTCAAATAACTAACAGAGGATACAAGAGGAGGTAAAAAACCCAAATGCTTATATTACTTATCCAGAACAACAAGAATAAGCAACCTTTTTCCTTATGAGAACAGGGAACAAACCCTTCTTTATCCTAACAGATTTTAAAGGGTGAACAAGTAGCTCCAAAGCATTGCCCATTAAAAATAGCAAAGGAGGAAGTTATCATTTTTGAAAGCATGTGAGGTAAAGTTATCTCCATCTCTTACCAGTGGCATAAGAAAATACAAGTTAGATACTACACACCGCAAAGCCTGTGTAACTTAGTACTGAACTATGCATTTACCTAGACAGACATGTAATGGTAGGTTTCATCCCTATGTATTTCTATAAATCAATTGCTTATCTGAAGGCAGTTTGATTTGAAGTCCTCACCTGTTCAGATGCTAACCAGTACAGCAGGAATTAGAATGCCTTATTCCTGTATAAGATTGTGACTTTATTCTCACATGCTCTACGCTGGAATAGTTCAGTGCCGCATTTCAAAAGCAAAGTCTCCCTTTCTGGCCTCAGCAACTCCAACAGAGTGTGCTAGGCAGACAGAAATAGCTGAAGGCCTACTAGAGATGGTCACAGCTATGTGTTTTATACAAAACTTTTTGCTGATGATCACCGTAAGTCTTCCTGTTTGAACAGCCTTGTAAGCGTTAAGCCAATCTACACTTGATTCACCCCTCACTGTAGCCTCAGTACATGGCAACACCAGTGCTCTGTATTTACAGCAGTATAGTATCAAGGGCATCAACAACTCTGCTGTCTGCAGAACCTTTTCACAGGGAAGGTTTTGTGTTCAGGTGCTGAGTATTTGCCTTCTCGCCAGAGCCCTGACGTTGTTGTGGAGTAACATCTGTCCTGGTTTCAGCAGGGATAGAGTTAATTTCCTTCCTAGCAGCTGGTACAGTGCTGTGTTTTGGATTTAGGATGAGAACAATATTGATAAAGCACCAATGTTTTCGTTGTTGCTAGGTAGTGTTTACACTAGCCAAGGACTTTTCAGCTTCCCATGCTCTACTGACTGAGAAGGCTGCAGGTGCACAAGAAGCTGGGAGGGGGCACAGCCAAACTGGCCAAAGGGACATTCCATACCGTGTGATGTCATGCTCAGTACATAAACTGGGGAAAGCTGGCCGGGGGGGCCGCTGCTCGGGGACTGGCTGGGCATCGGTCAGTCAGTGGTGAGCAATTGCATCGTGCATCACTTGCTTTATATATTGCATCGTGCATCACTTGCTTTGTATATTCTTCTTCTTACTATTATTATTAGGATTTTATTTAATTTCAATTATTACACTGTTTTTATCTCAACCCATGAGTTTTCTCACTGTTACTCTTCCGATTCTCTCCCCCATCCCATGGGGAATGGTGGGGAATAAGCGAGCAGCTGTCTGGTGCTCAGTTGCCAACTGAGATTAAACCACGACAATCTCCAAGAAATATTTTATGAAAAATGGTTTGGCAATTCTGACTAAGCCTCTGAAAGCCCCAGGCAACAAATATCAAGCACCTTGTTCTTGATGTACACAGCATTAGACCCAGCCTTGTCACAATAATCTCTGTGGTGCTCCAGCTTTTGTGGGTTGCCACTCATCGACATGAGAAAGGAGGCAAAGCAGTATCGGCCATCACTGGATTGGTTTGGACACAAGTCTGCACTGCACCAAACACAGATTACTGAGCCCCCTCTAGCGGCACAAGGACTGGAGATGCTGGCTTGTGCCTTACAAAGAAGTGTTTGACAGCTGCAACATGGCAACTAAGGGATGAGCTCGGAATAATCTCTAAGGGATGACCATCACAACAGCTAAAGTACCAAACGCACTTTAATGAGTTCCAGATTTTGTTCCCAGAAGGAATTTGTAATGTGTCAGTACATTAGGCAGGTACACAACTTCCCCTGAACTACAGGCATGAGGAGAACTGACTATAATATGCTAGGTATTTAAAATTATTCTCAGAAACCAGTTTTCCACAGTATTAGAAATAAGGCATGTTTCAGGTGTGCAAGTGGCTGCTATATCCAGTCCTCAGATGCCATATTTGCCCTTTAGTTCTTCCACTTTTGCTATGTAAGCTTTCATTGCATCTTCTTTGGACATTCCTGAAGGACAGAACACAGGGAGCAGTCAGATACCTTTTACATCTGTCACAATTCCTTGCTATAGCACATAGCAGCATGCTACCAGAGAGCAAAGAAGATAAGGTCACTTGGCTGTGAATCTAGTCTCAAAGTTTTAAACAAATGCGTTCAGCAGTCGTGAGAAAAGTGTTTCGAAGCAAAGTTATATTTGTATAGACAGCAACTAAACAGTTATTAGTTCTATTAATGCCATTCACAACTATTACAGGAAAGCTATTCGATCAACTTAGACTGCATTTAGGTGTAATGCTGGCTCCTTAAAGCACCAGAAAAATCCCATTTTCATAGATTAGACCACTTGTTCAGCTCATTTAGAGCTGAGAGCCCAGCTGCATCTTCCAGTTAGGAAAACTTTAGAAGAAACCCAACAACTGGAGGGAGAGCTCAGTCTCTGGGGTACTAGGTGGGGACCTGGAAAACACATTTAGGTTTCTGTTGCTGCTACAGTTCTCCTTTGTGTAACATCTTGGGCCAGCTGGGCATTTTGCACCTTAATTCCCTTTCACACGGGCTACATTTTTCAGGATTACTTCTGCCTTGCAGAGGTAATCAAAAGTAAGAGTTTATTATTACAGCATTCTGAACTTCTAGAACTCCTGTCTTATAAGGCAATGCTATTTTATTGCTTGCTGAAATATGCTTTTCTGACTAGTTTGTCTGTGGCTTTATTTGTTCATTTTTATTTTTCAAGGAGACACTTACCTTTCAATGCATTCCAGGCATCCCACTTTGCTTTGCCTTTGAAGTCCAGCATACCAGGGCGGTCTGAGACAGATGGGATAAGCAGCAGAATTAGTTTGTGTCGTCTGGGTGTAGGTAATGACTACTCCTTTCCTGAAGGCTATTTAGCTCTTAACTACGATAAAATACAGTGGTTCACCTCTGCAGCTCTTACTTACTAGCCTGTAGTCAGGAGATCACCTCTGATGCTGAAGGGAGCATGTTGGAATACTGTTGGTGGCAACAGAGATATTCTCTGTCAAGTTCCCTTAAGACAACAGCATTTGAGCAGAAGAGCACCAAATAGTGTGATTTGGTTTTATCGTACCTTCTGAAGAGACTGCTGTTGCATGACAGCTATCCAATTAAAGAACATCATCAGCTCTAAAGTAAAGCAGAAACACCCTAAGGTCCATTACGCACAGAGACATGAAATCAAAAGCTAGTAGCATACAGCTTAGAACTCACTGTCATCAAGTTAATGGTATGTTTCTAACATATAGCTCTTCATCTGTTCTGTCATCTAGGGGTATAAGCACTGAATTCTAACTCACCTCCTTACAGGCCAGATTTTAGCCAAAGAGAGAAGAAATGAGTGAGATGTGAAGAATAACCATATACACATCCACAAAAAGTGCCCTCTATGTTTTTACTTCTTCTCTGTCTCCTTAAAGACAATTCTTAGGATTAACAAATGGAACTGGACAGTAGCCTGTACATTAGCCACAAAAATACCCTTGCACTGCTCACATGGCAGTGTGACCTGCAGAGCTAGTTGGCAGCTCCGCTTCTCTCCAACAAAACCCCCTACTAGCTCACTCTTACACGGATTGCTTTTCGAGCCAACTCCTGTTAGCTACTGCTCCACAAGAATGCAGCGACTTACAGAAATGTTGGTACATTAACAGCTCTATAGCACCATTTCACCTTAGCAAACATTAATAATGCTAAGGTCCAGCCACACCAGAAGGATCATATCTTAAAACCAAAGTCAGTTCATTTCTCCCTCAATGCTGTCTATCTTGGGAAAAAGAGACTGCAAGCGCCCATACTTACCATTCCCTGTAGCCTTCACTGCCAGCTTTGAATTCAATCAACACCCAGAAAACTTCACCAGCAACTGGGTCAGGCGGTCAGCACTCCAACCAAATGACCTTTTTCCTTTCTAATTCTAGTTACTCAAGTGTTATACAGGCTCAATAGAGACGGGCTTCATTCTAAATGTTACTCCTAGTCCAAGCTGCCAGTGACACAAGTGTAGCAACAGAAGTAGCAGGAGATTTTGCATAGTGTACCTGCAGAGATATTTCTGATACATCTGACACAAGATGTGATATTTAATTGCAGCTCCTATAAAAGTTTCTCTTGTCACACACATCTGCATCATTTTATTCTGTTTTGGCTTTCCAATACTATTTTTGGTAGCCAATCCAGTTTAAACAAACTGCAAACCGCCCCCCCCAAGAATTGCAATTCCACACTTGTATGGTTTGCCTTGCTGTTTAAGCCTGTTTAACTGAAAAGCGTTTGTATTAAAGCAGCATTCCTTGACCTAGGCAGCTACTTACTGGCAGAGGTCTCCAAAAATCCCCAACCCAATATTTGCACAAAACTAACACAAAGGATTCTCAGACCGCTGCTGTACGGCTTAGATGGTCTGCAGCTGGGTTAATCTAAAAACCACAAGTTGCACAAACCCTTATCAGGTCAGCTTATGCCTGGCTGCATATAAATCCATGCCAAATCGGTACTGAGTCATTTTTGCTAAACCGCGGGATTGCACGAAGCGAGGCACGCAACAGGGGAGAGGTTTTGCCTCCCAAAGCGCCTCCAGCTCAGCCTCAGGCCGCA